TTTACAGCACCGTCAGAGGCCTTTAACCCGATCCAGTAGTTTTACAAAATAGCATTAATATCTGAAAGTTCTCAAGCGAAAGGTACCACTGCGTACAGAAGCAAAAAGTTCTTCCCCGAGGTTATTAACTGGTTATCCGACAAGAACTTTTCAACTGGTATATCAAGGAGGAGAATTTAACGAAAATTACCTCTGTAGTGGCCGAGAATGGTCGCAACATATACGCAGCGGTGAAGATTACGTAGTAAAACGTGAATGCAAGTAGGGAACGAAGCCAGCTGAAAGTCTTCTCGTCACTCTACTTTTTACTTTGCTGTTCGAGTTCAAGCGAGTAAGTACAATCAAACTGACCACTGCTTCCCAAATGCCTTCCACTTCTCATCAAGAATTTTTTCTAGGATTCCATCAAGCAACTCTAGATGCTCCGAAGTTTTCTGAAAAAGCGATATTTTTTGCTGAGTAAACTTACGGGTGGAGAAGACATATGGCCGAAATGCTTTCTCTCAGGTCTGGTGTCAGTCAGTTGGAGATCCGTGCACCCTAAGACGAACCAAACCGTCCACCTCAACGGAGGCGCCTGGTTAGTATCAACTCTGTTAGGGAACATCATGGCAGTAACTTGTACATCGGCCCAGTACGGAGGTCATGTCAAGTACATTTTCAAACACACCTACGACTTTGTAATAAACTTCGGTGCATGGAGCATTCAGCATCGAGCTATTGTCTCAACCAATTCAAAGAGTTCTATTGTTTTCTAGAATTATGGGGTACAAATAGAATTCGGATGGCCGATTCTGCAGAGCCGATGGACTCTGCAGAATTGGCCATGCGAATGAAACTAAATCTGAGGAATACAAAAATTAATCGTAATAGGTGAGCGCAAAATGGTTGACAGCATACATAAGGTCCTCTCAACTTCACTGGCATTTTTCCAGCTATCCTTACTTGCCGCATGATCGCGGATTCAAATTCCGGATCGACATTCGCCCGGCTAACCACGCCTTCCATCCATCCGGAGTCGATTAACTGGTACTCGACTCGTCTGAGAGGATTAGAGCACTGACTTGTACATCGGCTGCCAACGGGATAGGTCAACGCCCAAGCCTCTATCTTTTATCCTAACTTTCTGCTTGCATATGATGAAATAAAATGTAATATTCACCCCATAAACGACTAGTGAAAGAGCTGACTGTTCGTTCATCTCTCCAGATACTTCATTGATTGTATCGATCTTTGTCAAAGGATACGAGAAACAATTTGCCTCTCCATAGACCCAAACACTTTCACCTTCCAGTTCGAGAATGATGTTGAAGAGCTGTAAATGGTAACTGTTACAGTATCACAGAAAATCCCGTCATCGCCCCGATGACCTTCTTTTTCGCCAGCTTTGCGGCTAGAGTCAGAGGCGTCAGGTTCTGCTTGTTCACAATGTTCAGTCGAGCACCTGCCTCTAGAGCCATCTTCATCATTTCCTGAACATTGATTAGTATTTATTTATCTGTTTTTCATATATTACTTGGGTAAACGTTAAAATTTATTAGTAAATATGGTTTTGAAAATTAAGAAAACTATTGCACTCACTATTTTTTCATGGATTACACATAGATGGAGCACGGTGTTGCCATTAGTATCCTGTGCGTTAAGATTCGCTTTCTTAGCCACAAGAAGTCGAAACAGATCGGGCTGATTCATACAAACCGCAAAGGAGAGCGGATACTCACCAAAGTACATTGTACTGTAAATAACCATGGAAATTTCTGCGGTAATCACTGCTTCGATAGAACACCATGAGGGAAATGAAAACGAAATCGTCTGAATCAGATTTGGAGCATACACATTGGAAATTTGTTGATTCGCTTTGCCGGAAACTACCCTTTCCCTGAATTTTAGGTTCACGCACAATGAGGCAGCTAAAATGAGTCTCAGATACTGTAGGAAGTGCAGGTCCCTATCCCATTTCGGCAGCGGAAATGTAATTTAGGTGGTTTGGAAACCACAGTATTATTATCTCTCTAATATATTTTGATGCTGAGCCTGAATAGAGTGTCAACTTACCCAGTGTAATTGGTGTTCATAGTCAAATCGACGTATTCATGCTCCAAACTATCCGTTCGACTGCTTTTTTGATCGTCTGCACAGAAAAACGCTCCATAGCATCTGAATTCGAGATATATGGCATGGTTCTTCTAGCACCCTCGTACTTCCTCACAGCCCTTCACGATTTCTTTTCCACCTCCTCCCTCATAAAAACCTATAGGGAAACTCAGATCTTCTACGGACCTATAGAACTGCGATGACCGGAAGCATCGAACCTTAATCATTCATCAGCAACTTGTGAGGATACGCCATGTAATCGGTTACCTTCGAGGAGTAATAAAACAAGCACGGGTTCAACTAAAAAAGTGGTTTACCCACTTAGATTGTTCTGTCACCAAATGACCAAATCCGGAAACATGAGAGGACTGGATGTCACCCGACCCAGGCCTCGATCTGTTTACCCTTTATGATGTGACAGCACCTGTTCACATTATTCCATTCTTGCCAAACCCCAGAAATACTGAGCTTTTAGAAAATCAAAAACGATTTATAAGGTAATTGCAGCAATTGAGCGAACCTTTGATTCACATCAGCCCCTCTCTGTAGTAACTTGCTGACCATTTGCACATCATGGTTGATAATCGCCAAATGAAGAGGTGAGAGTCCTGGAATCTGAAGACTTCATATAACAGCCGACATCGAATTTCCTCTACAGTGACCGTAATAATCTTCTGAGGTGCAGATATCGTTAAGCAGTTTGGGGTAGAAGTCGAGTATCCGAAGAGCGAGCATGTTATGAATTATCGTTCCTTGTAGAAGGCATACGCCAACTATCGTTTCACCCATAGATCCTGAAAGAAGACAGAACGAATTGAATTCAATTGGAGTGTGGTTATAATGTATAAGCCTTTGTAGATGCCACATGCTTCGCCTAATGCTGAAGACACAATCTCAGCTAGATCTTTTTGGAAACAATCATTGAGCCTGCCGCTGCGGCATTACCATTGATTTGCTCCCCTACCGCCTAACCAATAAGTGGGCGGTAGGGGAGCAAGTCGGTGGTAATGCCGTTCGTTCAAGTGCTTTTAAATCCCGCGCAAGTCGCATGGATCACCATCGTGCTGTATCGATCGACGCCGTCGCCAGTCGCCCGTCGGCCCAACCGTAGTGAACCATGAAAGCGCTGGTTGCTGTCCAACGAGCATTTCGGGGAAGAAATTTCTATGAAGAAGGACCCAATGGAAATAACAAAATCGCTAGGCCACCTCATTTGCGATTACTATGGCCTTGTAAACATAGTTGTTTTCAAGAAACATTCGAACGAGGTAGTGGTGAGATGGCGCAAGAATTTCCTGCCAACATTCGAGTGCTTGTGTATGTTTCTTTTGCACTTGATTTATTTTTTATTTTTCCATCTAAAGGTGAAATAGATTCAAAAAGGAATAGGAAAGCGTATTGGGTAGTAGCATCACTTATGCACACGCTGGTTATTAGAAACGGCTAATAACCTATCGACAGGTACTTCTCATGAATTCAGAAAAAATTGCTCCTGAACGAGTTCATGTCATCGATCCTTTCTCACGGTTGGCCATCAACAGAAAGAGTTTCGAGCAGTCGGTCTATTTTATTAGGTTGCTAGGCCATTCATTACTAATACTATAAAATCCTGACAATTGCATAGTTTCTAGTAAACATGCTTTCGATATTGTATATATCGAAACCATGTTTACAAGAAACTCGGTGACAATTCTACTACAAAAATGGTGGATGAATGATCGGAACCACCAGCAAAAGGTGCTGGTAGAGGCAAACCTCTCTCTTGAAGACTCCAATTTAGCTCACGATACTTCGATTCTGATTTTCCTCCTTTTCCTCCTCCGTCAAGAAGTTTCAAAGCTGGAAGTAGGTAAAGTAAGTAAAAATACTGCAGAACCTATCGCTTAGTCAAACATGCCTTTCTTTAGATCGCCAGTCATTGCGTCATTCTGGTCGAATCCTTCGAGAACATTTACAGCCGCTTTCCCTTTGCCCTTCTTCCTCAGGAAGGCACCCAACTTTGCGTTTCTCTCCTATAACACCATGGAGTTGAACAAGGTACAAAAAAAAATAATAATCAATCTATAATGATTCTCTAATGAAACTGTGAATGTTTGCTTTGAGGGTGAGGAACAAGAAGGATTCACTGACTACAAGAGCTACAATATTCTTGGTGGTTCGTTAGGTTCGAGCTAACCGCTAGGATATAGCGCTCCCACACAAAGAAGAACTTTTCGAGATNTTTTTTTCCTGCCGCATCGCGAACAGCAATGCAACTTGGAGCTGGACCTTATGCCCGCCTCCTCTTTGTGTTCCTAAACTTACCTTATTACGTAGAGTAACGAGTTCTGTGACAGCAAATAGCTTGCCCTTCTCATTGTTCAGTAGAAATTCAGGCATCCGCTTTTTTATGTAGTCATCAACGAATGAATAGTCTTTTGTAGCTTTAGCATGCCTGAAATCAAAGAAACTCAATCCAAAAGCGTTTAATTCATCTTCGACAACTCACCTCATGATGGTCATCATCTCTCCTCCACCATGCAGATCAACCATGCGATAGAGCCGCATATCCTCTCGCAAACGCCCTCCATTCTCAACTTCTGCTTGCTCCATCCCGTTGGAATCCTTCATCTTCAACTTATACTCTTCTGGGCTTTACCTGACCCTGTTGCTTTTCTAAAAAAAGACCTACTTCCGTTTTATGCTGTTACAATGAAGGCAACACGAAAGGAAGGCTAGGCTCTCTAAACGGTTGGATTTTTTTTCAAGTCCCAAGACTTCAGATACCGTAATCTCGGTGACGTTCAATATCTGGACTAAGGCATGCCGCGCTTACTGGACGCCCGAGCATTTTCTGCTCATCTGAGCTCCCTCAGTAAGAAAAATTCCTATGGTGCTTCATTGAGGTAGGTGAGATCTTTTTGATGCTGGTTTGAAACTGGCCTCAGTTTTTCAAGGAAAAACATAAAAAACATATTGGTAGTTAATGAAAAATAACAGTCAGCATACACGATAAGCGCCAATTTTTTTTTTNTTTTTTTTTGTTACACAAAATAGCATTCCATTGTCAAATCCTCAAGTAGTAGAGGAAATGTCAGTACGTTTTTTCCCGAAAGTTCCCTTTGAACTTTCCTTTGCGGATGGCGACTCAAAAATCGCTACTTCAACAAACAACTTGACGTGAAGGCTACAGTACCCCCACACAGGGCTTTTACGTGAGCAAGATATTTAGTTTTCTTCTAATGGGATCATGAAATCTGCCTGAGAGGGTTGACAAACTCGTCATCGAGCCCAAATTTCCCGATAGGAACTTGAGGCATAAAATTAATTAGTATTCAGTATTTGGCTGTTGATTCCCTACACTCGAAATGAGTTCTCAGCTACTCATTCCCTCCTTGAAAAAAGTGAGAGGTGCAAAAGATTTCGGTGCAGTGTGTTGCTCATTATCATTCAGCCATCATTAAAAAAAACAGACAAAGATAGGAATAAAACAAAATAAACAGCTCATAAATAAAAGAGCTGAAATTTGGAGGTCCGATTCCCTATAGGGCGTAAAAGTGAAGGGACGAGAAGATTCCTCAATTCACAAATGAAGTATTCGAGTCCATTGAAAGGAAATCGTCAAGTTGATAAGCAGACAAAAAGCGGTTGTGAAAGCTTGGAGTAGTAATCCGAAGCAAGTTATGAGTTGTATCACCTGGCTTAGACTGATTGGATTTGATTACTCGCACGACTTTACGACATTTCTCATGCTTACCGACCATGTTTGTAGTCGCATGGTAATCGAAACACGCTGAGACAGAGATCATGCTCCTCCACTCACCACAACGCCTTCGAGAAAAAACATCTTATGAAAAACTTTATGAACCTGTCGAAAGCCACTTTAAAACCACCCCGATCTAAAAGGAATCAAGAAAATGCTGCTGAACGGAATTCTGTCACCGATTTGTGAACTTTTTGACTAGCCAATTTCCTTTTTCAGGTTTATTTTGAATCAGTATTGGACTTACAATGGAAAAAGCTAGATTTCATAATTTTTTATAGTGAACTCAGTAATTATTGCTACCGATTCCGCATGATACCTGTCAAATGCATTTACAGTAAAGGCTGTGCAAGTACAAGTTCTGAAATAGAAACTCTAGAAAAGAACTTTCTTCAATAAACAACCTTCGTTTAAGAAAAGAAAATAATCAAGTTAAGACCTCCTCACTCGTCGAACTTCCTGAATGAACCAATGCCATTTCAATGTCCTGTTTGGAATCTCAAAAACACGCCGAAGTCAATCCGACGAAATCTCAGTAGGCTTTCCAGACTGCGTTGTATATTCAAAAAACAGTTTTCCGTATTGACTATTTCACATTCCTATAATTCCTAATTAATTGCCCACATTAAATGTCACCAGAGTAATATCCGAAAGGACAACGTGGTCGCCTTGTCGAGAGCAGCTCGTTATGAACCCTACAGCTCTTACTAGTCGGGATTCCACCCCCACTTTGGAAGGGTTAATGGTCTTTGCATGGAGCCATGGTGCGAAAGGAACTCATGCCCCAAAGAGACGAGCGCCATGGCGCGTCCTGACCCATTTCCAATTCGTAAAAGCCGGCTGTGGGATGCCGCACAAAAACCAGCATCTGAAACAGGGTCAGGAACTGGGTGACCATTTCTTACTGTTATCCAATTCGTGAGAGTAATTTCTTTATCCAAATGAATAACAACATAATTCAACGAAGAAGAATGCTCTCCGCGATCATCCTTGTTACTTGATACGGGTCACAGTTTGACGACGGACGACGATCCTCCAAGTAACCCTGAAAAAATGATTGAAATGAAAAACAGTCATTTCGATGAAGTTCACGAACCTTCTTCGCAAGAGCCACTCCTCTCGGAATGCGAACGGATACTGCACGATTGGCCACACCCCAAGAGAAGAACTCAGCCGAACTAGTCTCATGTTTCCCTGTCAACCTGAACATGTAAGACATAAGTCCGATTTCAGGATATGTAGCTTGCGTCAACTGAATCCACTAGTACCTGTGTTTGTTGTCTTCTCCATCGTGAGGATCATACACACGAATACACTCTTTGTGGGTAGCTTCGAGCTTTGGCATAGCCTGAGCAGTTCACAGACATTAAATAGACAAGTTGGTTTTTTAGGAAAATCAGGAAATAGTGCCTAAGCTGGGACGGTGCCCAAAACATTGATAGGATAGGTCAGTATCGATACGAGGTTTGATTTCCGCCACCTATTAAGAGCGTTGTCGTTTAGCAGTACCCACCCCTCCCCTCAATCGGGGTTAGGGAAATAAATAGGCCACATCATATTCAACAGAGTTTCTTTTGGAGTATGTAGGTCTTATGCCTCCGCCTAGGATAAAACAATGTTGGAAAGTACTTTGAAGACTATTACGTGAGCATAATCCCACACCCCATGCGCAGCCTTAAAGATTGGACGACTTCCGAAAGATCCGAAAAGGCAGTTAAACTCACAGCTTCAATGACCTTGAGCCCTCCTTCAGCGCGCATGTCGTCGGTTGAGAAGTTGCAGTGACATCCGGCACCGTTCCAATTCCCTCTGGTTATCTATCAAGCATCAACTAATACCGTAGGAAAGGGACCGTAACATAGAAACAAAAAAAGCAAAACTAGGCTCAAAATGAAAAGGTTGTATACTTTCTTGGTAAGAATCTTACTTATCCTTTTTGCAAAAAGCACAAAATACCAACCGCAGGTTTGGGATGGAACGTCACAGTCACTCCGAACTGTTCGGCTACACGCTGCAGAAGGTACCGAGCCATCCATAGCTGATCACCCATATCGATACCCTTGCACTGTCCCAATTGGAATTCCCATTGTCCGGGGGTCACTTCTGGAAATCGTGCTGCTGAGAATTTTTCTATTCAAAAAGCCTTTGGGAGATGGCAGCTTCTCATCGGGTCACACTGACGGTTTTTGGTGGCGGATGTCGCGCTTAGAGAGGGAGAACTTTCCTCACGAAAACCGTATATGACAGAACGCGCACAGAATGCACTGCCTTCGAAGGTATGTTTGCTAAGGGCGGTGATCGAGTTGGGAATGTTACTTCAGTGACAGCAACCTCCAGTGAGTGACGATGCTGTCGATGAGGTATTTCCTGATACCATTCCTCTTAAGCCTTTGTTCGGCAAAAAAAAATAACAGTTATTATATTATAGTCCCAGAAACCGAGCCAGAAGGCTTGCTACCAACAGCCTTCTGGCGCGGTTTTTGGAAAGGCAAAGCAGCGTCTGTACATCATGTGTTTATGGCGCGAATTTCTCGCGCGCGCGACGACTGACACATTTGCGCGACGAATGCCATAATCGATTTACTTCCGCAGCCAACTCTTCCGCGCTAACATGCTATTCGCAGCATTTTTTAAATTTGTGCTTGCGTTTGCGCCTGGATGAGCACCTGAGCACTGAAATCGCCGTTCTGTAATTGATATCAGTACTACAGCTAAGGGTTGCGGTATCATACCTCAATATTGATTTACTTTAAAGCTGGACTGTTACAGGATAATCCACCTACTTTGGAGCTCCTTCTGCTGAAGATATGCATGTACCAAATAATCTTACCCGCATTTGTTCCAAACAACTCTAGGCCAGCGTAAAGTGACGCACGATAGTGTGTAGTGATTATTTCACGGCCAAATGTTCGATCAGCTCCTATCGCACAGTAGTACGGCCCTTAACAATTTCATTTCAACAACAGCGTAGAGAACTACAGAGGTTCACATAAAGTTCCAGAACCTTGGGGTCGAGGGAATCCATGCTTAGGCCAGCCGAGCGGATGGTCATCTCGGTCTAGCAGAAGATATTCCTGTTCCATACCGAAAAGTGGGTTTGTATGCATGATCTTGTCCATAACCGCTTTGCATGCATGGCGATGGTTTGTTTCTAGAAAATTTTGATAAAAAACTGACTGACTGAGCTTTAGTATCACAACAATAAAGTGCGGGCTGTGTGGAAGATAGGCGGCATCTCTGAGATAGGGTCAATAGAGAGATGGTTTCTTCTCAAGAAAGCCACTGCTTGTAGAGAACCACTGCTTTCATCGACTGTTTTCAACAGGAGGACGCCGTATTATTCTTGGGTTATTGCCATGTGGTTGACCAATCCCTGCACACAGGTGGTTGGAATCTCTCCCGGTTGGTCCTAATAGGTCGTGAAAGTAGTCAACGATGAATGAGCACTGAAGAAAGCGGAAAAATTAAGTGCTCCAGAAAAAACATCGAATTCGCGCCAGATAGCAAGACGGGTGTTTGTATTGGCCGATAGTATGCTAGCATCTCTTACTAATCTTCTGTGGAACTCAAGGGACAAAATAGGAACAGCTGTTACATTCTTGCTCGTCATACGCTAACGTCCCTCTTAAAAACTTATACTTACTTTGAACCACTGCTTAGTGAGCAAACAAATAATTGCAATGAAATGAGTATGTTTAGGATGGTAAAACGTGAGAATGGAGGATCTTAATATTCGCCAAAAGCGAAAAATTTTCGGTAATTTTGGGTAATAGGATTTTCGTTGCACATCTTTTATTTTACCCACTAATTCTGAATGCAAAAGTTGAACTCCTTTTAACCACATAGAATTGAGATTCAAACACGAAGTCGCTCTTTGCAGAGAGCGCAGGCCACACGAGAAAATGCTCGGAAATCTCCGAAAGTCTCTTGTACGTTCATTCTGGTGTGAAAAGCCCTACGAAAGGTACAGATTCCATTAAGCTCCATTCTGAAAAACACAAAGATCGTTTCCTCCACTACCGAGATTCCCTTCCACCAGTATGCGCACTACTCATTTACACCAAAGCTGCCTTCAAAGCCAAATGACAGAATAAAAGTTCTACTAACTTGCAGGTTTTCTATGAGCATCGAGAACTTCGCATAGAACAAGCTTGTGATGACCTCCACAAAATGGATCTGGATAGAGGGCAACCGGCTGAACAACGTTTATGCTCTTCTGCAATCAGCAAAAGCAGTGTGTACTTTGCGCTCACCACCAGGATCATATCGGAGTCTTCTCCCTTTTCTGCTTGGTACGTAGATGATCCATCGAAACTCCAGTGAGGATAGTCTGCAATGGACTTCCGCTATTATAGTAAACCGGCAGAAACATCTTGCTAGATCCCTACTCTCTACTGCGCCTGGGTCTTTGTCGAGAGTACGCTGCTTGTCCCGCAGGTTTTCTCCAGTACCATCGATCCAGATGTATGTGGCCTGAAAACCGCTTGGTATTCACACCACTTGACAAAAAAGTCTTGTATTAGTGAAATACTGCTCGGCGATGGTGCTGTTGCTAAAGCCATTGGGCACCGCTTGAAGCAATAGAACGAAGAGCCCGCCACCACGAATTGGCTGCGTATCGATTGGATTTCCCCCTCGTTTTAGCGCCTTTCCCGCACTCTCGCAGCACTATATTCGACGATGCAGGGTCAATCGATACGGGACCAATCGATATCTGATTAATGCTGGAAGCCAACCTGCTGATTATTACAGGTTACAAGAATGAATTCCTCACTGTAACTAGTACCCAAACGAATAATGGGGATCATTCACGGGCTATCGTCAAGGCTACTTCTTACCAAGAGCTTATCTTTCGGATAAGGAATATCGAATGACTGATCGATAATTGGTGTCCCAAGAGGTATTTTAGCATGGAAATCACCAACACTTCGCGTAAAAGAAAGACCAAGTGGTTTCCGCAGAAACGGAAGAGCCTGAAACAACAACCAGCGCGTATTCATGATTACAATGAGCAATTGGAGGTCACCCACCTGGGAAAGTTTGGCAGAAGTGTTCAGAGCAAGTCTCAGCATATGGACTGTTCCGGGGTCTGGACAGACCTACGAATAAAAATGAGGTAGGCGCTGTACTCGAATCGATATGTACTCGTTTTGACTTGTGAATACGGGATTGAATAGCAGAATAAACATGTTGGCACATGGCAAAATTGACAGTATTCTGGTTCCCCGGCCACAGCTGGGGTGAGGGAGTCACCTAGCCATTTGGAAAGGACGTTGTTCCCGCAGCCGTTCTACTGTTGAATCCCACCCGAGCCTCCTCATTCCTCATGACCATAGCTTCCCATCTCTCCTTACTTCCTAATTAACTAAATTAAGTTGCTCCCACTCTTGTTTGAAGGAAAACACTCTACCAAGCACTATTCACATTTTCTTTACCAGATAAAATAGACTCGAACAAAGAAGTAACCAAGGAGAAGAGAATAGTTGAGATGACTAGACTCATATTGGTAGGAGCATAAAGGCATGACTAAGTGGCCCAATGCAGTCGAGGCCTTTGGCCCGGGTTACTGTACCGCACCATCTGCGGATTTCGAAGTTAGACTAATAACTCAGAGGAGCTCCCAATTCAAACTCGGCGCGCGCAGCACCGCTATCTTTCTGTTTGTGTCTGCGCTCTCTCGACAAAANCAGAATGAGTGGCTTACACTGACAGAAGTCTATATCCTAGGAGTAGCCCATATCTAATCTTTGCTGTTAGTCTACTGCTTCAAAATCCGCTTATGCTTTACCCTTTCTCTTTCTCTGTTTCGCGCCTGTTTCGAACAGGGTAATGGCTAGCTCCGTATTTCGATTCTTTCCAGTACGTTTGAAAGCATTTTGGTGGCTTTTGTGATTATTCAGCAAGATGTCAAGGAGTTCGGAGGGTGCCATCAATATAGTCGGCGTAGGAAACACGCCAAGGATCTTGCGATTGACCAGTTCGAGCGACACCTCTTAATCTGGCACCCTGCCAAGTTGTGTTGTATCCGTTGGGGCTTCCAGCTACCACAAATGACACTAACAAAGTACTCAACTTTAGCTTTTTTCGAAATCACGAAGCTTCGTCCTGCGAAAACAGAAAGACGTACCTGTTCTTTGAGTCTCTGCCCGAATTTAACGGTTCACCAAGAGAGCAGTGTTTGGTCAGGACAAAGAGGAAGGCATTCTTCTTGGATATATTTCTATTTTCCATTTAAAGTTTTCATCTCAAATTTCAAAGACAAAAAAAAA